ACACACACACACACACACACACACACACACACGTTACTAAATCAATACAATGAACGACGCTGCTCGGTCACCGAAAACAACCACATACACCCAAGAAACATTTGTTTTCATATGACACACTAATCATATCTAAAATCAATATCATGCGGTGTATTTCTGCACCTAAAGACTGTATGATGGATATATCGTACACATATAGTATGCGGTCTCTGAATAATTGTGTGGTCACTTGTGTTCACTCTCCCATCCCACAATCCCATCTGTTCTCCGTCCCAGATACCCTCTCGACCACACACACAAAATCTCTCCCTGTATCTCAGAATCTATTTTCCATACCAGCTCCTATCTTCTCCTCTGTTCTCTAAGTCTCCTATCCCTTCTTAGCGACTGTGTGTATGAGTGTGTATCTTTGTAAAATGTCCTGGGCAACAGGGACAAACTGCCCTCATTCATCTTCCCAAAGGAGCATCCATTCATTGAGGAGTGAGGGAGAGAGCACGTAACATGATATTCCACCTTACAAACACAGAGATGATTGATCTGTCTGATATATAACTACGCATCATGTGTATCAATCATTTTGTCAGATCATCTAACTCTAATGGCTGTTAAGTTCTGCCGTTTAGTAAAAGTAATGGACTGAATCTTGCACCTGACAGATACTTACACTTTTATTACTTGTACGTCTTTTATAGGACAAATCTGTGTAATATTTAAAAGAATCATATGTATGGACCTCTATTGGACACTTTCTATCTTGCTTCTCTCTAACACTAGTTTCAGTTGTAAATACTATCAGTGATGCAGAATTTGTAAAGCTTGGGGGAAAGATGCATTTTAATATTCTGGTTTGACATTTTCCAAATTGGCCCAAGTGGGGGGGCGTTTGTTTGTTAAGGTGCCAGTATCTGCGACACTGTCGATATGTGTTTGCCTCACTGATTTGCCCAAAGGAGCGTAATGGTAACAGGTGAAAACAAGTAGATTTGTTCCAGATTAGCCGCAGGGGTGTTGTGCCTTAATTTCATGTAAATTGGGCCATTGCTCATTTGACCATGTTAATTTATTGATTCCCTGAAAGATTAGATCCTCATTTTCCCTCTGTTTTTGTTATTTTCCTTGGGAGACATCCGTGTTTCACAGAATGAGTCACAGAGGTTTGTAGGATAGGAGCATGCAGAATGAATGCTCTGCCTCTGCATCTTAAATCTTCATTAGTCATTCATTCATCACTGCGGCGAGCAAGCCGAGCTCCAAGCCTTTAAAAAACTGGTCATGGTATATACTGCGAATATACAGACACACTTCCCTATTTCTTTTTCCTCACCGTCCATCTCTCAAGTTTTATTCATCCTCTCTAAAATCCAACCTTCAGGTTAAAAGAGGCCGTGTCATATTTTCTCTGCAGGTATTGTTTGGGTTTGTGTATGAATTTACATAGGTGTGCAAGTGTGTGTATGTTAGTGTGTTTCCAGAGGCTGTGTGAGACATTCCACTAATATCTAAACAGCTTTTGAACCTCTGGAGGATTCTCAGCCATTAACACAATCACCAACAGACATTAAACAGTTTGCATGCACACAAAGTAAATAAAGAAAGTCCTGACCACACAACAATCCATAAATCACCCATATGATCATCCTGAAGGCAGAACCACAGTAAGCAAATAGATCATCACTCCCTCCTGGCCTCTCTTATTGTTAAAAACACACATGTTGCTGAAGAAGTGAAAAAATATTGCATCTGCACAGTCTCTCAAAACATATGAGTCCAAACATACAGCCACAGACATGAAGAACTATATTCATAAGGTAGAATAAGTCTTTCAGTCGATAGTATGGCTGCTACAAATACCTGATCTCGACATTATCAGGCCAGAGCGGCAACATCTGCACATATTTTTTTCTTTGATGCTCTTTTTTATCGCATTTTATTTTTAAAACAACATAATAATAATGAAAAAATAAATAAAATGAATTGAATACGTACATAAATTAAAATGAAAGAAAAAAGGCTTATAAGCTGCATGTTGACCGAAAAGGAGCAGTGGCGCCCACACACACAGGCAAAAAAGCCCAGCAATAGGTGAACAAAGAAATGTACAGATATTAGAAGCATTTTGGGGCAGCAGCGGTGGTCTGTATAGTCCCAGTATGGGAGGATTGAAGGGGTTCATTGTTTGTTTAACTTGTGAAGTAAAGCTCTGCTGATTAGGAAATATTTTTATAGAGAGGAGTGGATGTCCTGAAAACTCACAGGTTATATGTTCAGCTCTCACTCAACCTTGAGCTCTCCACAAAGTGAAAGGCTGAGAGAGAGAGAGGACATTCAGCCTCCCCAACAACAAATCACCAGCGGTCAGAAGAAAGACAAGGAGAAGCAGGAAAAGAAGCCTGATTACAAGCAGGAGAAAGAAACATACAAGCCGGAGGAGTCCCCTCATAATTCTTTCCCTTATCAGGCACCGAAAAACAGACCGAGGTGACAGAGGAGGTCCTCGCCAACATGAACAAGAAGATGTCAATCTGGACTTTCTCTCCCTCAGCTGTTGTCCTTTTTCACTGAAGACATTTGACATATAATTTGACATTTTGGCTTTTTCTGCTATGACAGCCCAAACGTCTGCTGTGAAAAAGATCTACTTAATGACATGACAGCTTAAAGAAAGAGAGAAAACAGAAAGGTCACTTATGTCATGTCAGATGAGCATCAGAGGTGAAGAGATGGATTTAAGATGTCAATAAAAATATTTAATGATAAATTCCCTGCATATATTGTTATATTTAGTGGCTGTTTGAATTTGTCAAGTTTAAACCTGAGATGGCCACATAACTAACTAATGTCCTCTTTTCCTTTTGAGGTGTCTCAACCACAACCCACTCACACACTCACACACACACACACACACACCCAGGCGGTGTAGACTTACGATTTCTGGGTTTATCATCATCCATGCCCTCCTCCTCATTCTCTGGGTCAATGTCTTCAGCCTGAGTGATCCAGTCTAAATAGCCCTGTAATCACACACATACAAACAAAGACAAAGGCAAGAGAAAGACTGATTGATGAGCAGTACTTTCTTTTCATATATTTTCTGGCCTCACTCTCCTCCATCAATCCATCTGAAAAGCATGTGATAACTTTAAAACCAGCCCAATAAATCAACTTTGCTTTCTATATGAGCTGTCTATAATTGATGGTATGTATGTATGAACCATCTCCATACCAATGGTAAAGGATGTTCAATAATTTAAAAAAAAGCCTACCTTGAGGTCCTCCTCCAGTTGTTGTTTTTCTCTGAGTTTCTGGAAGTCACCGCGAGCCTTGGCCTTCTCCCTTTCCTTGGAAAACTCTCTGGGAGGAGGGGAGCAAGAAGGAGGGATGGGGGCAATGAGAGAGTTGGGGGAGCAGGGGGGAAGAAAAAGAGGAGAGAAACAATCTGAAAATCTAGACTGAAGGTTTCACAAAATACATAATGTTAGAAAATTGCGATAATGGAGAGTAAGTTCAGGAAGGGAAGGAGAGAAATCCTGCTAAAGAGAGAAAAAAGAGATAAAAGCTCTGCCAAGTAAATGTTAGTTTGCAAATGGACATGAAAACACATCCAGATAGGAGCTTGATTCACATCCCAAAACATCCAACTAATTTACAGTGAGGTCCAGATGTCGGAGAGCACTTTCGCAGAATGGAAAAGTGCTCACAGACTTTTGGACACTGCTGTAGATACATATTTTAAACAGCCAATAGATCAATATAGTTGCAATACATAGAATAAATGCCTGAAATGCTTTGAATGAATGACATTTAGTAATGATACAGCAGCATTGTTAATATAGATCAGAAGTCATTCAATTGTAAAAGCTCTGATAATGGTGGAGCAGTGCACGTCTACTGTTGGTGTCCCAGATCAACAGCACCCAGAGTACACCCAGGCCTGCTGGGAGATGGAGTTCCTGCAGTGTTTTCTAGATCACCTAACATCTCCTCCCACTTCCAATCTGCTTCATACAACCACATGGGGAGGCATAAAGAGGGCACCCTTCCCCAGCTGTGCCACCTCAGCTCACACCTGTCAGATTGCAGGAGAAGTGGCTCTGCACTGAGGTAACGCTGCATCGCAGAGCTCCCAACTTTTGTCTTTTTTTGGTCAATACCCAGAGGTTCAAGTCAGGATGAAGGTTTATTCTGTGTCTTGGTTCTCTCTTCATACAGTGATTACAATCATATAGAATAACTGCAGAATTAATGTGAATAATATGTTTCATTCCAATTTATTGTGAAGCCTAACAAGCACAATATCTGCTTTTTCAATATGATTGAAGACAACTAAAATCAATGTAAGGAGAATCTGAAATATTGAAATTAAATGATGAAACCTGGTGAAATTCCTTCCAGGTGTCGGGAGGGAAGAAAGAATTAAGGAGCATTTGATTAATTGCTGCACTTGGGGAAGGTCAGAGTCAAGTTGGAGCCAAAGATACGGTTTGAACAAATAGAATTCATTTGGATGAGAGCTGAGAGGAGCTTTGGAACATTTGCATTCAAAAGTACAAATTCACATTCAAAGGTCCATTTACAAGTAAACTCAGCAAGTTCCTCTCTGTGGTAAATAATATAAATGAGGATACCAGCCCAGTCACTAATGTACCCGTGTGCCCAAGCCACACTGGGTGGGTGCTTTTACTTTAAAAGGGTACAAGATGTGTTGTAAATGTTTATGTCTGTTAAATATTTGAGATAGACATTACAACTGTGGTGAAAGATCTTTCCTCTTAACCTAGCTCTGAACTCTGACTTCTCTTTTCTCTCCCACCTCTCAGTCTCTTTCAAGCCAGCATCTTCATGTCTTGTTTTTACGTTCCATAAATCCAGACACAGTCACACTCAGAGTCTCTGTCTCTTTGTCCGTCCCTCCTTATTTCTGTTTATCCATTACTTATTATGCCACTCTGACACTTTCACACACACTCACACACCACGGAGGAAGCAGTTGGTAAAAGGTCAGGCTGTGTAGTGTGTTGACAGCATCATTAGTCAGAAGTCAAAAAAATAGTCAGACAGCCGAACCCCCCAAAGCTGTTTGGACCAGACAGACCTCTATTATTTCCCCACAATGATGCTGTCACATCACCGTGAGCACCAGGAGTCAGATTTGGGTCAGTCAGTCAGGGTCAATTCACTCCTCTTAAACCTGTTTACTAAAGCTCATCGTAGCATCGGATGGAACCAGCAGAACAAAAAGACGATACGCTAATGTGAAACTTCACACAACTCATATTAAACATAATATTGAATTAGAAAGGCAACAGGAATATTTTCATCGGAGGCTGGAGAGGTTCAATAACCATAAAGATGAAAACAAGGCAGAGATGAAAGAAATAAAGTCAAATTGAATAGTTTGATTATTTTTAACCATGGATTTATTCATTCATAGATTCAATTGCGGACATTTAACTGCAAGCTGCGGTGTATGTTAATATCCTTAAACACCTTTTATTTGATGTGAAACTAGATTGTGTCCACTCAGAGGAATTTATACAGCTAGTTTATGTTTGTTGTTTTTGCCTATGTTGTTCTTTATTTTAAATGGAGATGAGTGTTTTATACCATTCCAGTAGTGCTGAGAGTTGAGCATTTCACCATAGTAATGGCAGCACTGCAGAGTCGTATTTAGGGTTGCAAAGAATACCCATATGTCTTCAAATGTCCTGAAGCCAGATGCTGATTTAACAACAAATGTTAATGACTGGAAATGTACAAGCAGTTAGAGAAACTCAGTTGGTGGAGCTCCAAACCCTGAAACGCAAACTTTGTGTATGAGCCTCAATAAATCCAAATGTCCGCTGGCTGGCCGTACTTTTCATTGTGCCACATGTGCAACTGTTTGTCCTCAAGTTGCACCTGAGTCAGTTTTATCACAAAAAACTTTGTTCTTGTTAAACATCTATGACAGAAACAGGAAGTAAAACAGGAAGAAACAAAGAGTTTCTCTGAGTGAAGACAAAGGAGCAAAACAAAGGAGAGAAGATGACATTAGTTGTAATTCACATCAGGCCCTACCCTTACCCGCTCAACACCCCCAGAACCAAGTTTAGCACAAAGAAGGAGCCGATGATGATTAAGGTGACAAAATAGATCCAGGGCCACCTGTAATCTACTGCATCATTCACCTAAGGAGACGGAAGAATGGGGGAGAAGGGCCAAGGAGAGGAAACAGGAAAGGATGGACATAAAGTAGATTGAGGGAGACAGAATGATTGAGAGGGCAGGGGAGAAAGTGAGCAAGGTGTGATTAGGGAAGGGAGGGAAGAGGGGAGCAAGTGAAGGCGTTAGATCCTCACTGAGAGGCCCTGTAGGATCCCTTCTGGGATTATAGGGACATTCATAGTATTTGTCTGAGTCACATGGCTAAACATTTGATCAGCTGTCACAGGTTGGCCATGTAAACACAGTGCTCATGACAGAAGACTATGAATGACCCACATGATGAACAGAACAACTCCTCGTGGAGCTCATTGTTTGTGTGAAGGAGCTGAGCCGATGGGAAAAGGGAGGTTTAGAAATTAGCAGTCAAAACAGCCATATTCAGGCTTAATCACTGAGGAGAGACAGCGTTGCGTTGGATACTTTAACAGACTGTGCAGCAAGACTCCCAGCAACCACTCTTTTTTTCACTTTTCATGAAAAATGATACTCTCCTCTACTGTCTTCACTCTGTCGAAATGAATTGAATTTAAAGGAAAAAAGAGAAACTGTTTATTTCACACGAATCGATATTCATGTAGGTTACATCATTGATTTTAATTCTGAGAATAATTTTGTGTGTATCTCACCGTTATAACCTTTCTTATTGTAGTCATTATTATTATTATTATTAAACTCTACAGCCAAATTGGAGAAGTGGCAGCCTTCCATCGCATAATTTCCACCTTCAATGCCACGTTTCTGTCAAACTCGACACAGACCTCAGAAGAACCTTTTCCGTCTGTTGTGTTTTCCCTGTTGTGAAATTTTTTTTTAGCTTTCCACCTCCACAGCTGACCTGAGGGGTGAATTATTTATACCCCAGTGTGTCCCTACAGGCCGGGTGGTGCTTGTACTAAAACAGCGTGACTTGGCAGAGCAGGGTAAAAGAGCACCCAGCTCGCCTGCTAGAGTGGAATTTATTCTTATAAAATACACACACACACATGCATGGACACACACACATACATTCATTAAACTACTCTGATGACATTGGGAGTTAAGAGCAAAAGCAGATTCCTTTAAATTGAGCCTGGACTGAACCAAACTGAATAACTTGCTTGAATAAATTGCTTGTGCATGTTAAGTAAAACTGTAAAGGAAAAAGCTGTTTCTGGGTTTCATGGTTCCATGACAGGTTGTGAAGGCAGAGATAGACACGGGTTCCGTCACTGTTTTCTTGTGTGTGAGTGTTTGTGTGTGCTGTGTTTCTCTCGGGCTTGTGGCTAAGGACTGATTGAGTGGAACAGAAAGGAGAGAGAGCGGGAGATCTTTTCACTCCAGTGATCATCGGTTTATCGTTCCTCAATTGTCGAGGTATAAGGCCGTCTGCCTCTGCTCTTACTGCTGCACTGCTGCACCGCTGAGATGAGGGATCGAGTTATTTGTTTACTTACACAGATGCTGCCATAAAAAGTAAACTTTCTTTTCTAATAATAATAAGAGTAATGAAAAGAATAATACTGCTAATAGTGCTTTTATAGTGGTGAATCACTTGATTCCACAAAACCAAAAACATTTATAAATTGCACTTTAAACATTTGATTATGGGAGTCTTGTTACATGGTCATTTATCTTTATCTAAAACGTTGTAAACGTAGCCTTGCATCACCAGACCAATATGCATATGTGAAAGGGTCTGGAACTTCTCAGTTAATCCTCAAGTGAATGGGAGGGTGGCCAAAACCATCTATATAAAATATGCACTTGCTGATTGGTCTGGCTTCCAGACTTCTATGAACAGCCACATAACAAATAACACACAACCACACACATATATGTACACACATGACAACAGCATGACCTCTTACCCGCTCAACACCCCCAGAACGAGATTGAGAACGAAAAAGGAGCCGAAGATGACGAGAGAGACAAAATAGACCCACGGCAGCTCATAGCCCATAGCATCCTGCATCTGAGAGGGAGAAGAGACAGAAGAAAGAGAGAGGAGGAGAAGAGAAGGGGATTAACAGGGAGAGTTGGTGGAGTGGTGAAGGAGAGAGGAAAGATAACAGAGGTGGAAGTAAGAGAGGAAAGGGGAAGGAAGAAGAAATGTGGGAGAAAAGGGTTTAAGAGGATTGAATGATGGAGTGAATGAGAGGGGGCAGTAGAGGCCAAGGACATAAAGTGTGTTAGAGAGGAAAAGGCAGAAGGAAGGGGAAAAAAGAGAAGAGAGGAAGCTGTTGAAAAGAGAAGGAGAAAGACCTGACAAGGCAGGACTGGCAGTATTGTATGATTAAGTGTGTATGAACCCTCTAGTCTGCCTGTTGGAGAGCAGGTTCTTGATAAGACTCAAGTACAAAAACAAAACAACACTTAGCTGCAATAGGTACTCACTGACAAACATTAGCTTTTAAACAAAGTGTGTGTTCAATATGCAATCACTTTGTTTTAACCTTTACAGGAAACATATTTAGACGGCGTGACTCTACATTTGTTTATATAAACCAATAATATTCCTTTATAGAGTTATAAAAGCTAAAAAAAATGCCACACACTCATCTGGATATATAGTTCTGCTTTAAAGACAACGGTTCAGTTCTAAAATAAGTTTCAGCTTATCAGATCCTACTTAAATTGAATTAAATATAATTTACACATCTAAAAATAATAAAGTTTTTGAGTATTTTGAGTTGCTACTGGGCAGAGGGAGACAAAAAGTGACAGGATGGAGGAGAGATGGACGCTTCATTTGCAACAAGAGCACCAGATGTTGGTGGTCATTAATCAATATTCCCAAAAAATTTGACAATTAGCAACTTTGGAAATGCATGAACAAAACTTAAAGAAGCATCCAAAGCAATTGTTTTTAAAAAGGTCTTGTGTTGTCTGAATGTTTTTCCATAATCATTTGTACTTATAACCTGATAAATAGGACCAATTCATTATAAAGAGCTTGCTACACAAGCACTCTTATAATAGGCACAATTGCATTTGTGTGTGCACAACAAGTTGCAGCAGACAGGAGAATAAGAGAGGGGGTGTAGAGCTAGTAGGCTCTCTGCTCCATGTGTATACATGCACACAGACAACTCACGCACACACATGTATGCCTGCTTGTATGTGCAGTTGAATCCTACACACACACACACACACACACACACACACACACACACACACACCACACACACACCACACACACACCACACACTGCTCAATTCAGATACATATTTTTCACCTAACTGAGAATAGTTTGGCTCAGAAACATAAATTCTTCAGCAAACTTCTTTATTAATTCATTACTTAAGCACCCGAAACTTCTGCCTCTCATATATTATCATTACATTCTCCTGAGAGCTTAAAATGTGTTTCTCAGAGAGATGAATCACTGGTGATCATTAAAAACACTCCAAAAGGTCATTTCACCGTTATTAATACTGTGTTAATGCTATTTGCAGAATCTTCTATCTGTTTTCTATCTGTCTAGATTAAATAATAATCTGACTGTTGTGCATAGATTTCAAAGCAGAAAGGAAAATTAAGCACTTCTGGCTGCTGAAGTCCAAACTCAGTATGGAAAAATATATTTATTGCAGTGGACTGAGTCTTTTAGGAATCATTCTGGGTTTTTGAAAGCTCACCAGCAATTTCGATTTCAGAGAAATGGATGCTTAACTCTGTGACTATGGTATTAAATAAGAGGTACAGTTTAGAGCAATGGGGTAGATAATACAGAAAATTCATTTGGAAATTTGTGCCACATAAGAGCTTTATAGTGGTGAGCTAGGCAGCAATGTGTGAGTCTATCCTTTAGTTTCCTGTAACCACCATAATCTGCCACAGTCCTGCCAAAGTCCTGTAAAGTAACAGCTGTCTCTGAGCCAAGTTGCATTACACAGGGCAATGGTAAAAAGCAACACCTCTTAAATATAGAGGACTGGAAAAATGACCTGGACAGCTCAAGTTAATGTTTGATAAAAAATAGAGATAAATGTTAAAACTGCATTTTAAAGTATCAGAATTAAAAAAAGGATAATGTTTTTTTTCCCCACTCACGTCCATAGCAAAGGTCTAAATCAAATGGTTTCTCCAGGATATCTCACATATGGAGTTTGATTGAACCTCACATTGATTAAAAGCACAGACTAATCTATTGGTTTATTTAGCTGGACATGTTCTGGCCGTTTACTGACGAGTGAGGCAAACTTTGCGTGTTCATGTGTGTGTGTGTGTGTGTGGCTATAAGAGTTTGTGTACACAGGTCTGTGTGTTCACTTGACACTTGAATCAAGCATCAGGATTCAACACACGTTCAAAATTAATCTGCGCCTTCAATCACACAGTGTATTTTCTGCATCGATTTAGCCTGAGATATGAGCTATACACACACCAGTACAATCAGTGTGTGTTCATAACTCTGTCTGAACAATCTTTAAGTGCATACCTGATATTTTGAGTGTTTTTGTTATTGGTTTTTCTTTTCTGAAAAGCTCTCATGTGGCACTAATGTTACAGGTATAGTGGCTGTACACATCGAGCACTGTGGCACTCACACACACACACACACA